TTGTTATTATTATTATTATTATTATTATTATTATTATTGTTATTATTAGTATTATTATCATTATCATCATTGTTATTCTGATTACCTCTATTGTTATTGTTTTTGCTATTATTGTCATTATTATTGTTATTATTGTTGTTATTATTATTATTGTCATTATAATTGTTATCATTGTTGTTATTATTATTATCGTCATTATCACTATCATTATTACTATCATTATCATTATCATTATCATCATTATTGTTATTATTGTTATCCTCATCTTAATAATTATTGATAACAATTGCTATGAATTTTTTTATTTATTATCATTTTGATTATTATTATCATTCTGTTATTGTTATTCTCTGTTTGTAGTTATTATTTTTATCATTTTAATTATCAACTTGATTATTATTGTTATCATTAACATTATCATTGATGTAGGCATTGTTATGATTATTATTATTATGATTGCTTTTGTTATTTTTATTCTATTTGTTGCTGTTATTATTATTATTATTTTATTATTATTATTATTAGCAATAATAGTAGTAGTAGTGAGAGAATTGCTACTATCATTAATATTGATGTTATCATTATTATTATGGTTATTGTTATTATCGTCATCATCATCATCATAACCCTTATTATTGTTATCGTTATCATTATTGCTGTTATTATTAATAATAATGTTATTATTCTTATTTATTTATTTTATATTATTATTTTTTTTTTTTTCAACATTATTCTTTCTTACCATTGTCATCATTATTCACAACACGTTTTTATGACTTATTATTGCTATTGTTATTAGTATTGTTGTTATAATTATTTTTATTATTAGTTATTATCATCATCATCATCAGTATCACCAATGACATTTGCAGCATTATTAATATTATCATTATTTCAAGTATTTTTTTTTTTTTTTTTTTTTTATATGAACCAAATTACCTACATAACAGCTGAACTGATTTTGACAATTTTTCCAAGTTAATAATTCATTTGTATTTTTGGGAAAGGAATACTTTCTCTCTCTCTCTCTCTCTCTCTCTCTCTCTCTCTCTCTCTCTCTCTCTCTCTCTCTCTCTCTCTCTCTCTCTCTCTCTCTCTCTCTCTCTCTCTCTGTCTCTCTGTCTCTCTGTCTCTCTGTCTCTCTGTCTCTCTGTCTCTCTGTCTCTCTGTCTCTCTGTCTCTCTGTCTCTCTCTCCTCTCTCTCTCTCTCTCTCTCTCTCTCTCTCTCTCTCTCTCTCTCTCTCTCTCTCTCTCTCTCTCTCTCTCTCTCTCTCTCTCTCTCTCTCTCTCTCTCTCTCTCTCTCTCTCTTTTCAAAGATCATTAGAAAAAAGGGAGATTTTTTTTTTCTTTTTCTTTCTCTCTTTTTATTCCTCCCCAATCACTCCATATAGTCAAAAATGTTCCCAAATGTTTTAGCTTTTTTCTCTCTATTTTTTTTCCTTCTGTTACTCTTTGAGGAATAGTTTTCAATTGTGTGGCCTTTTTCTCCGCCGCCTTTTCTTTCCCATCATATTATTATTCTAAGACACCCATGTCATACCCAGCCATACAAATTTCCCTCTTAACTATACTGTTGGGCTGTCTGTCCTCTATGGTGTGCTTCATAAGCTGGGCCGTAGATCACTTCTCTGCTTGGTTGTATGGAGAGGTAAGCTGTATACATATGTAGACTTTTTTTTCACATTATTGTCTCCAGGACTGATAAGATCCGATAACGTCCGTCAGTTAAGTTGGATTTGTATGAGGTAGATTTGTCTTTTTCTTTTCCTTTTTTTTTCTATTGGTAATGATATTGTATGTTCATGTATTTGTTTATTCATTTTATGGAAGGTAGATGTGTATTGCTGTCTTAGCAGATGTGGCTGTCATAAATTTTTTTGATGTGCAGGCTTCTCTCTTTACAGAAGTTTTATGTTGCATGGAGTTGTAACTATAAAGCAATAGATATGCATTTATTTTTAAAGTCAGATGGTTCATGGTGATATATGATATAAGATTCTCATAACTCTTGGTACAAAAGTCATGTTATATGCTTGTGATGTATAAAAAAGATAGTAATAGAGTTTGAATACAATGCTCTTTGTCTCTTCTTTAATTGAATCTCAAATAATCAGAATTTTAACCCACTTCTTCATGCACGATAATTATCCTATAATGTTTTCAGCTTTCTCTTTTCCTCTTTCCCCTCTCTTTCTCTCCCTCTCTCCTTCTTTCGTTCCCGTATATGTATCTCACCCCGAAGCTAACTCATTCACCCCAGAACGGTCACTACAACCTCTCCCGTTTCTCCGGCAGGACTCTTCGTTTGGCGCACTGTTCGGCAGCAATGGGGACAGCGGAATAGTGAGTGCCAGTCTGACCAGTGGGGCCGGGGGGGCTATTGCTGACTTGCTAGACCTTCAAAGTGAACTGAGCTCCCTTCAGAAGGGGCTCTCGGAAATCAGCCAGCAGCGTGCTCAACAGAACCAGAAGGTATTGCTGGTGTGGCAACGCTGCAGG